AACTGCTGAAACTCATCAGCACGACACATTTTTATTGTTAGTGTCGTGCTGGTCGCCGATATGAAAAATTGTTTAAACATTGTTAATGATGTAATATCGATCCAAAATTGCATATACATGTGAAACTTGAGTATAACTATCGGGAACTCTCGCCAGAAATGATATTAGTGAATGCGTTTTGGTACTTTAGACTTTAGAGGGGAAAGTGTCGTGCTAGATTCGCGAAATTAGCACGACGTTTTTTAAAATGTGAGTTTTTCATATAAGGAGTGCGGAACTCTTTCTAATTTTTATCAGGAACTGTAGAACTATGAAAAGTGCTATTGGACCTCTTGGTATTTTTTTGGAATTCGTAGAATGTCGTGCCAACTTCGCAGACACGGAAATCACACAGTGAACACTTAAAGGACAAGACAAGAAAAGGAAAAGAAAGAAAGAAGGAAACGAGAAGAAAGAACAAAGGCAATTTTAAATGAAGAGGAAAAAGACATGAGAGAAAGGAGGAAGAGAAGACTAGCGGAGAAAAGAAAACTGTTACGAAGAGGAAGAAACATTGTAACAGTTGTGGATGAAGAAGTAGAAGAAACGCCGGAATAGAAGAGAAAAGGAAGAAAAAGATAATTGAGATATAATAACAAAGAAGCGTAAAGAGGATGCTCAAAGGGAAGTATAGAACAAGATACGAGTATTCGAGGAACAGGACAAGAAAGGAAAAGAAACGAGAAGTAAGAAAGAAAAAGGTCACAATAACTTTGAGTGAAGAGGAAAAAGGACAAGAGAAGAGGATACTGAAGCAGAGAGAGAAAAGAAAGTTAGAGAATACAGAAAATAGGGATACAAGAAGTAGTAGATTTGTAGGTATAGACTGTAGATAATAGTACGTGTGAAAGACAAATCTATTTTATATATTAAATTTTAAATGAGCGTTAAAATTATATATATTTATAAATCGTAAGATTTATTTTAATGCCAGAATTAAAAGTGTGGCATTCTACTGATTGGATGTAGGGAATGTTCTCTACATTTCATAGTAGTTATCTGCCTTGTCAGTTGAATTTACAATAGTTAGATAATATCTTCCTCTATATATTGCGAAAGGTATAGATATTTCGTAAGAAAAATGAGTTCGTCCGACAACCACCTTAACTATTTTCCTAGGAGAGTAGTTCTTATAAAATTCTATTTTAAAACCTTTCGTCCTTTGATGAGTCCTCGCCTACGAAAGGCGAAGGGGAAAATAAAAAGGAGAGTTTTCATTGCGCGAAACTCACTTTAAAGCCCGCGCCGGCGGTCGACGAACAATAATATTCATCTATATCGACGTCGAGAGCCAAAGTCAAGCCGTAAAACAGCCCAGCGCCGTACGGTCTCCATGGTATAACATCCGGTGGCATACTCGCATCGTACCCCTTTTCGGCGTTCCAATCAACGCTCTCGGAAGGATACGTGATATTGAGGTCGGGCCAGTCTTTTCTGAAACACCGTTTACAGAAATTTTCAATCATATGAAATATATTTTTAGCTCGTATTCGTCAATTTCACAATTATACAAGTTTAATCGATTACACTTCACTCACGCGTTATAGAAGAGATGTTTCTTGGATACCGCGTTAAAATTACAGCAAATACCCTCGTCGGTCATGGTAGGATTAAAAATCCTCTCGCAATCGGTCTGATTCCCATGCCAAAGGCAGTAATGTAACATGTCTGTGCACGGTTGGGATACCTTGTGCAAAGAGAAATGAGAATTTAAATAATTTTCCAACAACATAATTAAAAAGAACCAATCTCGTCAACATTTCAAGAGATATGATTTTATAATTATCTTGACTAATTCCTCCCCCCCCCCCACACACACACACATGTATGTACATATATGTATATCATATGCAACGTACATTGATCATAAACCGTAGCATCCTGTTCCACTCGACATTCACCTGATCGTCGTAAGTTATATTGCTCTCTGAATTGCAAACATCTTCCAACAATAACTTATCCAATTCATCGTACCTAACAAAAGAAACGCAAAAGATTCTTTTTTATAATTTTTAATTATAATTTCTTAAATATTTCTGGCAATGCAATGTATTTATAATTATATTTTATAATTATTAATTATTATATAGAGTAATATTAATAACAATTTAATGTACACTTTACCCACGCTCAATCCGCTTTGCCTCCGTCTTTTTAACTCTATTCATGTTGCATATTGTTACGGAGGGAAACGGAAACTCGTTGAGGGACATCGGATCGGGGCTCAAAGAAATCATGATAGGAGCTCCGTTCCATTTCTGATAGAGGTAACAAATATAATATATCGCCACTGTTAGCGCGGTAGTAAATGAGATCACCCAAAATATTCTGCAATAAATAACGCATTTAGTGTTAAAACATCTGGGTAAAATGTAAACACTTATAACTGACAATTTAAGCTCTCTCAAGTTGGCAGGACCAAATCAGCAAAATCAAATGCGACCTATTGGATTTTTTAGTACTTATTTTGTACTAATTTGTACCACCAAAAATAATTTTGTACCTACTAAAAAATCCAATAGGTCGCATTTGATTTTGCTGATTTGGTCCTGCCAACTTGAGAGAGCTGACAATTTATCCTATACAAAATATAATCATAATATATAATTTTTTACATACGAGTACGTACACACACATAAATACGTAAGCATAATTTAATTTTCAAAGATATTTAAAAGACAATTAGAATATAAATGTATCTCTTTTAATATAAATATAACGTGCTGTGATATACAATATTATATTTTAAAATCAATGATTTCGTCATAATGAAAATTATGTCTCGATAACTGTTCGGAAATTATTTTATATTTTACGAAGTCTCTGCGTGTGAAATCTCAAATTTGAAAGAATGCCCAAGTCGAAAGGATCTCTTATGCCTGATTTATTTGACAGACAACTTTCTACGATTACCTTTCTACGAATGATAATGCCGAGTCACCGACGTAACGCAAGCCGTGAAGGGTGCTGTATGAGCAATACTGCTTGGCAAGCTCACTGATCTCTGTCAGATTTTGATGCTTCTTAGTTTTCGATCTAGCAATAGGTGCAACACTAGATCAGATAGATAATACATATTATTGACATTTAATTAATTAAAGGGACCATTACCTTTCCGTTTTTTCGTTCCCTTGATCGTAGTTTTTGTTGTTCACTGCCGATTCCTTCTTTACGAACAGATTGTTGTTGTATCTCGACCTCAGAGTAAAATCTTGTGTCCGATACATATCCTACACACAATTACGCTTATATCAAGATACGCAAACCCTTGATCTGTGCGTTAATCAAGTTTTAACTCGAATATAACCCAGAAGGCCTTTTTTATTGTTTTTAATATAGAAAAAGCTTTTAATACAATATGTAGTAATATGCAATCTAAAATTATTAAATTATAATAAAGAATATGTAACATTTATATATTTACGTATTTATTTTTGATAATGTAGTTAAACAATACTTTATCATAATTATAGTAGTCTTTATTCTGTATTTGAAAATGAAGAGAAATCCTCAGCTTCAAGTGTTTTTTATTATTAATTTAATTTTTTAAATTAATAATTTTATAAATAATTTTATAATTAGATAAGATTAGACGGAAAAAAATTATTACCTAATGTTACCGTAATATTACTTTTCCGGGCCATTAAGTCTGAAATATCGAGGTCCATTGGATCGAGGATTTTACCGTATTTACCTTAGGTATAACTCACGTCTTATCTTCAACTGACAGTACCTGTGCGATACGCATCGATGTCCTGTTCACGGCAGTCGAACTTGTTCGTGCGTAAACGATCTCGGTGATTTCCCGAGCGTTAAATCTTACCTTTGTGTGATCGCGGGACGCGAATCCCTCCAATGGTTGGGGCGGCCTGTAGGGATTCTGCAGGTGCACGGTGTTAACCGAGTACGATGGGATGGCGTTGCCAACTTTTAAATAATCAAACGACGCCCGGTCGGCGGTGTTGTAATAATTCTCGCCCCCGATGTTCGAGGAATTGCGGTTGTAGGTTTGCGACGGCATCGCAGGCGCTCGACCGACGTTCGAGGCGACGTGCGTTAAAATTCGCGCGTCGTTCCACGGGTTGAATGCTGGCCTCTTCTTCTCTCGTTCCGAAGAATCCTCCATTTCACTGTCATTCTATCTCCGGACCCATCGCAATCTCGTTTGACTCGCTCGCGACGATTTTACCTCTCCTGGACCACCCTATTAAATCACTTCGTTCGATAAATTTGGAGGGAAGAGAATATCAGTTGCTTGCATTCGCGTCTTTTTCCCTCCCTTTCTTTTTATTGTGCGGATCGACGACCCTTTATCGTACCTGAGAACCTTATCGCATTAAAGATTTTAATAATTAACAAAAATATTCCTTTTTTTCCGAGCATTAATTCTTAATGTTAATTAGTTTCGATTAATATTATTTATCGCAAAGTAATTCGTATGAGGGGCGAGCAACCCTTGTCGCGTCAGGCAGTACTGTCGTCTAAAGTAAAGGGCTCTTTCTATCCGCGCGAGACCTTTCCAAACCACCCCCCAGACGGCCCACAGCTGACTGATTGTGAAGTGTAACAATAGCGGCGAGTATCCTCCCAAGTCTTTGGCGATACGACTCGGCTCGTAAGCCTCGTGCGCGCACTCGTGATCGTCCTAGATAAACGGATATTATTGTTATTCCAACATTGTTGCGTCAACAATACGGGATCACCGACGGACGTAGACGGCCACGGAGCGCGATCGCGACTCTGAATTACAACTCTTTTACCTCCCACGCGGGAGATAGGGAAAATAAGAGCAAGAAAGTACGAGATAAAGATGAAAAGAACGGATGACTCAAAATGGGTAAAAGGTTGTTGGAAGGAAAGAGTGAAAAATAAATGGGGAGAGTCTGGAAAAGAAAAGGATGAGTATTACAATAGAAATGGATGCGGAATGATAAAAAGCTTGGAGAATGGTGAGAGAAACATAGAAAAGAAATTAACAAGTGGGGAAAGAAACGTGCAAGGCAATTAGAGGAAGGAAAAATAAGATAGGCAAAGTATAATGGAAAGTATTAAGAGTTAGAAGTGGTAACGACAAGACTGAGGTATTTGAAAAAGAAAAAAAACGCAAAATAGAGAACAGGTGGGGAATTAGGGCTGTAATTAAACTGATTGTGAGATGTGGAATTATAGAAGAGGGAAATAAATATTGGATAGAGGAAAAAGATAGTGCGTGTTTTGCTAGCGGGAAAGGGTAATATATGAGTCACTTTCTAAAGAGATGCGAAATTTCGAGCGAAATTTGGTTTAATAATTTAGGAAAAATGAAAAGAAAACATTAAATAGAGCTGAAGCGAGTAACTTGATAAAACGAAGGGAAGAGTTCTAAGAAAGTTATAGATGTGAGAAAGAAAAGAAAAAGGAAAATAGGAAGAAGATGGAAACAAGGCTGTAGAGGTAAATGTAATAGACGTAAGGTAGTAGAGCAAGATAATATAAAACAAAATAATGTAACAAAATGTACGACAAGATAGCACAAAGTAAGGCAAATAAGTTAAGCTTAAAATGTTATGTGTGAGGTATAAGAAAAATTGTATGGAATGTTAAAGGTAGGTTTATATAGAAATATATATAAAAGAAATAGAAGGACGAGTGTGTATTAATTTTGAATGGTAAATTAAATTCTTCTTCTTGGCTGTAGGTTGAAGTAAATAATTATCTGACCTGACCCTGATTCCTCGATAAATCTATAAATTTAATCGCCTATTTTGTTTTTTAAAAGGGAAATTCCCGATGAGACCGTCGTTCTTGGCACCATGATTTCAATTTGCAATCTCGGAAAGTTAACGACGACGATAGAATCGCGCCTCTCGCGCCTACACGCGCCTTTACCGCAAAACTACCCTCCTGAGGTCGGTCGTTTAGCGTTATCCGATAATCCCCAGAGCGGCGTTTTTACATATTGACGTGGGAAAAGGACGACAAATGTCATATGAAAGTACAGTTACGTCGGCTACAAAACGTTTGATAAGTTTTATCTCTCGTAAATATCTGCCCTTTCACGTGCGGGATATCTCGTTTAACATAAACGAATACACAAAAGTGGCGTGCTTCCATTTTTATCCCATTAATCGAATGCACATACTTGCGATACGATCCAACGCTCTACTTAGAACCCTCGAATCGCCTCTGGTGTTTGCGATCGCGAGTCCACCGTGCAGCTAGGATGCGGCATAGATAGGGAAAAGAAGAGACGTCCTCGAGAAAGGAAAACACGTTTTCCTCAAATAAACGAGACGCCATGGACATTTTATCGCGACATCGATTTAACAGTTAATTCAATTCATTAGAGAAAATTTTTGAACCAGGCTAGAACTTGGTACACAGAAAAAAAAGAATATTCTTCCTTCGAACATATGTTTAGTTTCAACGTGAAAATCTTGAAATGAGACTATATCGCGTTAAAGGAAGAAAAACTTACTAAAACGTAGCAATTTTATATAATTTAATCAAGAAAAATATATGCTTACAATTAGTATTTAAGAATAATTTTCTTGAATAGAAAGAAAACAATATTGGATAGAAAGTAACATATTTTTAAATCAAAGTATTCTTGTTGTATTCTCAAAATGACAATTATAGTACTTACTAGGTGGGGTGAAAAGTAACCTCCTTGACCGCCAGTATGCACTGCAATAGCAAAAAAGATTATGGTGCCTTATAGTCCATTCATATTTAGGCAGACATGTCAAATTTCAGCGCGATACAGCCATTTGTTTTGTTTTGACAGCTGATTTTTGTTGACGTGTTTGGCATTATGTTGAGTATGGAAAAATACGATTTTCGTTCTCTCATAAAACATTATTTTTTGAGTTGCAAAGCGGCGAAGGAAACAAAAGAAAAGTTGGATAAATATTATGGGGCTAGTGCTCCTTCAGATTACACCGTGAAATATTGGTTTCGAGAGTTTCGTGTTGGCCGAAACTCCACTGCCGATGAAGTCCGCAGCGCGGCAGGCCCTCCGATGCGGTTA